TCAAGGATGCTTGTGATCACATTGGGCCCACCGGATAATCCAGCCTACTCTCCCTGTTTTAAGGTCAGTTGATTAATCTATCTGCTACCTCAGTGCCTCTTTGCCACACAGTGTAACATGGGAACAGTTTCCAGGAATTGGGATGTGGGCATCGTCAGGAAGCTATTATTTTGTCTACCACAGATACCAATTTGCAAAGAGCAATGCCAGGCCCCTGCAAAAGTGGCTTCATTCCCCCAAGTTGGTTCCTGGCAGTCTTCTGAGTTGAGGGCACCCTCCTCACCCAGACGCGGGCCAGGTGCCTTCCCCAGGATCTCTCCCTCCCATAAGAAGGCCTCCCACTGCACTGTTGAACTTCCCACGTTTTTGTGGGGGCCCAGACTTGCTGATGCCTGGAAAGCAAACTTTCCCAGGCTGAAGGAGAGCTTTCATTCATCCATTACCTTTTTTTTTTTTTTTTGTCCAGAAGTGGGAATGAGAAAGCAGTGGTGAGGAGGTCCAAACTGCAGGTGAACCTGTTCATTCATTCCACAAAGACAGGCTCATTAATGGACCCGTTGATGTCTGTTCACTCTTTGCCTGCTGAGTGAAGCTTAACTCCCTTTAAAGCATCAACATCTCAAAACAAGGGGCTATGATTTGCTTACCAGGGATTTTTCCGCAGCAAAATTTGTTGTCTGAGAGATATCATAAACGGTTTCCCAGATTCTGGACCTCTCTTGCCTCTCAAGCCTCTTTTCTAGTCCTTTCCATAAGAATGTCCCTTTCGGTTTTTGTTTGCTTGCTTTTTCTTCTGCACGGCTTGTTATTTTTGGAGCTTCGTGGTACAATCGGAGCTTCATATAAATAGGAGCTTCAACGGGTTTGTGTAGTAATTCGGCTTCCTCTTTCTCTTTCTTTTTAACTCTTTTCTCTTTGACTAATGAAAGTATCGGATATTCCTAAGGGGTTGGTGGCTTCTTCCTCTCAAGTCCCAGAAGCCCTGAGCCAGTAAGAGTGGGAGGAATGTCACCCACCAGTGACGTGGGAGGAGGTGCTGACCAAGTGTCCCCATCGAGGCTGGGCTCTATCTCACAAGTCTGGTTTTCTTTTCCACTGGCTTTACACAGTGCTTTTAGTAAAAGGGTCAAACATCCTCCACAGAACTCTTGGCTGTAGGTGGAAGCCTGTCTTTCTTTTGTATAGCTAGATTAATTTGAGAGTTCCTTTTAACCTAAATAAAACATACTACATGTCATCTTGCAGCGGGGGAAAATATTTCTTTTCAGGAGAAGAAACGAAACAGTATGATTGTGGGAGACAGTGGGGCAGACTCTTGACCTGACCCCAAGGGTCTCGGAGCTTTGAACTTGAATCTTCTGATCTGTTTGCCAGTGTGGGTTGTGTCCGTGGTGTGGTTGTGGGACCAAGGATGTCCCAATGCCCTTAGCGTCCCTGGCTTTCTCTCCACTATCCCAGAGACAAACTTGATGAATGCAATGCTCTTTTCTCTAACAGTTCTGCAGTTTTGCTCCTGCTAAGTCTCAAACTGGGCCTATTTTTAAGTCAGAAGTTCAGTTCTATTGGACAGCAGCCCTGTCCAATAGAAATATAATGTGAGCCACATATATAATTAAAATTTTTCTAGTAGCCCCATCAAAAAGTAAAAAGAAGCAGGTGAAATTAATTTTAATAATATATTTTATTTAACCCAGTATATCCAAAATATTATCATGTCGACATGTAATCCGTATAAAAACATTAACTAGATATTTTACATCCTTTTTTTTTTTGTACTCAGCCTTCAAAATCCAGTGTGTATTTTACACTTAGAGCACTTTTCAATTCAGATACAAAGTTTTTCTTGGCAATGTCTGATCTGTATTTAAAGTTCATAAAATTGAGCGTTGAAAAAGTAGATTTACATACCCAGATTGTTCCAAATATAATTAAAAGTTTTCTGATAACTAACTTAAGTATCAATTTTTAAATCTTGATTTTTAAAAATAAAATAAAATTCGAAGTCTAGCTCCTCAGTCACAGCAGCCACGATTCAGGGGCTTCCTAGCCGCACGTGGCTGGTGACTGGATTGGATGGTGCAGGTCAGGGGTGGCACTCAACAGGCACCAAACAAAGATATGATTTGGGGCCAGAAGGGGCAGGCTGAGGGCAGGGGCGCACAGAGCCCTACCCCGCTCCTTGGTGTCGCTGCAGCAGTGACTCTGGGTTTGTGCCTTACTGTCCAGTGCTCTGTGTGCCGTGGGCAGGCCAGAGTCCTGTTCCTGGGGCCTTCATTCTCTTTAGTGCAATCATTAATTCACACATTCAATACAATTAGATGCTGGTACTGGATATGGTACTGGGTTAAACTGAAGAGTCCGTTTACTGAAACACCAGAAGGGATTAACAACAGGTAAGCAAACAAAGAAGCAAGATCATTTCAGATAGTGATGACTGCAGCAAGGAAAACAGGAGATGCTAAGTAGAGACAGCCCAGTGGTTGGGCAGGTGGACTAGACGCGTCTAGAGGATGGCCAGGGAGGCCTCTCTGAGGATGAGTGACTAGAACAGAGACTGAGGGTCAGTGAAGATCTGAGGGCATGACCACACTAGTCCGGGAGAGGGTTCAGTACCCAGGCCTGGGGGGCACAGAGGGAGTGTCCAGAACCCAGGCAGGAAGCTGCTGTCTGAGTCCATGACTCAGGTGCCCAGGGAGCAGGTGCAGGTGTGACAGACAGGCTGGTGGGGCAGGAGGACCGGCTCGCCTGGGCCTCAAGGCCCAGCCTCTGCCCCAGAGCCCAACAATTCCTCCCACAGCACTTGTTTGTTGATGGGTTATCATGGCAACAGGGGAAGCACAGGAAAAGTTAATTATCAGCACAGAATAAAACGGAACAATTTGGACTTTGGCTTAAAATTAATTAAAATTCTGTCTGTAGTGTTTCTTCCAGGTCCTGGCTGTTTTCTTCAGCCTCAGGCTATCTCTGTGTCTCCTGCCTCAGAGAATAAGGCGATTTAAAAATAAGCTTGCCCCCGAGATTTAGAAAAACTTGTGATTTCCTTTTCCCACATAGAATGCATGTGGAGGGAAGACCTGTTCTCCTGGGAGTTGGGAGTTTAGAGGGTCTTGCAATTCAGCGGCTGCTCAAGGAGGTGGGGTGGGGGGAGTCGGGAGGTGGGAAGCTGTGAAGAGAACATATTGTCATCATCACTTTGTTTTTAAAACCCCAGTTGACCGTTTGGTATTCAGCGTTACCAGCTGAATGCTCAGAACATCCCAGAGATTAGGAAGGAGGCCCGGGGAAGAGTTTTTTCCAAGATGCTAATTATTAGTGTGTGCGACACTCGGAGCTTTGATTAGGCTCCCAGCCAAGCATGGAACTCGGACGGGAAGGCTCAGTCCAGCCCTGGAGCTCGCCCCGCCTCTGGGGCTTGGGAGGAAGCTGAATGTGGCCCACACGGGTTCGGAAAATGAAATGCTGGTCTGAGGAGCAGAGACGTAGAGACTCCATCTCATAAGGGTGGGATGTAGCCGGTCCATTTGTTTATTTATTCACTTGTTATTCGGGAAGGAGTAATGTGACAAGTCTTACAGAAGCATCAAGTGAAATGAAGACAGTGAAGTCCTGGTTGGGTGGCCCAACAGGAGCAGGCTTAGTGGAGGGGAAGGCCCAGGAGGCACGTGGCCCCCAGGGTGGCAGAGCTGGTCAGAGCTGGGTCTCTTCTCTCCGGTGCCTCTCTCAAGCTCTGATACAAGCTGTTTAAGACAGTTAAACACCAAGAGGAAATTATTGGCCAAATAAAAGCAGCAGAAAACACTTAATGTGAAATGGTATTATCAGTGACTTTTATCTTTTAAAAAATTTAATAGTTTTATTGAGATATAATTCATATACCATACAAGTCATCTGTCTAAATTGTTTACTACCATATTTTTTAGTGTAGTCACAGGGTTATGCAACCATAATCTAATTTTAGGACATTGTCACCCTCTCCAAATGAAACCCTGTATCTATTAACAGTTACTCTCCGTTCTCTCCACCCCAAACCCCAGCTCTCGACAACCACTAATTTACTTTCTGTCTCAACAGATTTTACTGTTCTGGACATTTCATATAAATGGAATCATGTAATGTGAGGTCTTTTGTTACTGGCTTACTTACCATGTTTTCAAGATCCATCCACATTATAGCATATATCAGTACTTTGTTTAATTTTTTATAACCAAATAGTCAGTGACTTTTAATTCCGAAGTTTGGGACACTGGGAGTTTGGGAATAATACCACTGGGTGCCAATTTGGGGTAGTGTTTTTGGGTTTGGGGCCCAGTCTTGTCCTGTCTTGAAGAACTGTATTGCTAATTTCATGTCTAAGTAGGGGGCCAATAGAAGGAGGCATTAGGGTTTTCAAGAAATCCTTAAAATTCTGCTGTCCTATCATTTCTCAATTAGAGCTAGCTTGCACTGGATCTCTGTGACTTGCCTACAAAATGCCAGAGACTGTCCTTGGGACAGAGACCCACTCTGTCCTCCATTCCAGCCTCCACTTCCAGATCACACTGGACATCCCATGGGTAAAGAGATTGTCCCGACTTTTCTTTTGTCTACTTTATGGTCCTCTTTGACATTATTCTGGAGTTTTCCACTTCCTAATGAATAAAATCTGCTTTCTGAGAATCTGAGAAGCCACTCACTCTTTTAGGAAAAGCGTAAGTTGTCTTGCCTCTTTCCCGGCAGCAGGAAGCCACAGTCCTCTTTGGGGAATTCTCCATCATCAATGCTGGTGGGCGTGGCGGAGTCTTGTAGCCTCTCTTGTGCTTCAGAAATCACATCAGTGTCCCAGCAGGCAGCATATCTGAGGCCCGGTTTGCACAGACACCAGCCCTCCCTTCCTCCCCTGCAGTGAGAAGGTGCCCCGCCCTGGAGCATCCCCCGTGGTGCTCCTGCTGCTTCTTCCCGAGGGGTGTGGTCCTCCATTCCCAGGAACCTGCTCTCCAGTCACCCCGGAGGGAGGCTCCAGAGAAAGGAACAGCCTTCTGAGACTAACCAGACTCACCTTCTACCCTTCCCCTGATGATGCCAGGACAGGGCAGCTCCGGGGTCCTTCACAAGCCTGTGGGTAATCCACAGCCATGCAAATGCCCACCCGTGGGAGTGGGTGATAGTGTATTTGCAGATGAGTACTTTCTCTACATGATTTTTTACTTTTTAAAAATTTAGCTCTCTAAGGCAGAAGTGCTTGGAGAGTGATTGTGACCATTGTGCCCTAGGGCCTGGCTGCTGGGGTGGGGGTAATCATTATACTCCCATCTCCAGCAGCTGGAGAAATCAGAAAGGGATTATGGCAGAGCCAGAAGAGTGGCAGAATGTTTCTCAGACTCTGCACAGCCTGAGAGTCCTTTCGAAAGGTCCAGCCCCTCCATGTGGGCTTCCCTGGGAGACGGTGGCTATCTGGGGGGTGGGGGCTGTGGGGAAGAAATGAAGCCTGGCGAGCTTCCCCCACCCATGACCGAACTCTCCCCCTGTTTGAGCGGAGAGTTCTCCTGGAGCAAGAGAGATTGTATTTCTTTGAACCAAGGAAGCTTGGGGGACCGTGAGGCTCACTCAGTGCTGTGTCTATGGTGAGCCGAGTCCTAGGATCAGATTGGAGGGGGGCTGCCCTCCAAACGAGCGTGCACCCTGCGCCTGCCAAAGATTGGCTGGCCCTAGCCTGGTAGCCATCACTAACTCTGCCATCCCAGTGCCTGGCTTAGTGTTAGCTTTTCCAAGGAAGCTTTAAAGGGGGAAGGGGAATTGACAGAGCCCTGGCAGAAGGGGAGTTCAGCCCCCACAGGTGGGCAGGAGTCCCTGTAGAAGTTTCCTTGCTCTGCTGTTACAGGAGAGACACCATTGTCCTGTCTGTGCGCCCATCTGCGTTAACCTCTTTTAAAGGAGCTGGAAAGTCATAATGTGTTTTAAAAAGTTTTAAAAGCCAATGGGATTCAGTGAAAAGAACTCTTCCAAATGTGGTGAGAGGTTGTCTGTCTTGCCGAATGGATGTTTACATCTTGTGGTGTGAACACGAAATGCCATCACAAATGCCCAAACCACTTCCTTGTGGGTGGGTACCTCAATTTCCTGCCAACCAAGGTACTGGATGTAATCCTTTGAGCCTGTCTTGTGTTTGACCTCAGAATCCCCCCTCTTCCCTGTCAGGCTCTCCCAGCATCCTGAACTTCTCCACGTTTCCCTCCCACGAAGTTCCAGCTTGGCTCACTGGGTTGCTGGCATTCAGATGGCACGTGGGTGTGAACTGGGCGAGGTCGTGGGGGAGAGGGGGTGGGTCTGAGACTTGGGATCCATGGTCCCCGGCCCCAGGCCTGGCCCATGGAGGGTGTTCAGAATACACACTTGCTCCAGTAGGTGAAATAGACTTCGGAAGCCCAACTGGGACATACAGAGTCCCCCTGACCTGCACCTGGTTCCCAGGGAGGCTGTGCAGTAAATCAGGGAATGGTCACTGGGCGTAAGATGCCCGTCAGGACATTTGTGGTGCAGGAAGGAGACAGGGCGAGGGGGTTGAAGGAGGTGCCAGTGGAGCAAAGAGGGGAGCCCAGGGCCACGAGAAGGATTAAATGAGAGAACAGAACAACACCTGGACCGCAGTAACGACTGTGAGAGTGTTGGTTAAGTAAATAAAACCTGGACTAAGACAGAATTGGGTTTAAGTGTGAACTCCATTCTTATCAGTGGTGGACCTGGTACATCGCTTAACCTTTCTGCACCTTAAATTTGCCATCTACATGGTGGGATTAATCATCATGACCCTCCCGACCCCAAAAGTCGGGTGCTGAGCTCAACATGAGCTCGTGAACACTTGTGACTCTTAAATGCTGTGCATGTTGAAGGACAGTAAACAGATTCTTTTTTTTGATGATTGTCGATAAAAACATATGGGTGGCCCACTCAGCTGTGGGTCTCACTGCTGAGTTTTCTTGGCATCAGTTTCTTCCCATTCCATCATCTCTTCTCATCCCTGACTTTTTCCCTTCTGTGTTTCTCCCAAGAGTTAGAATTACAGTGATTTGCTCTCCCTTCTTCAGGCCCTTCCAGAGGGTCGCTGTGGGAGGAGAGCATCATGGGGCAAAGGCAGGGAGGAGAAGGCGGTGGCAGGAGTATCAGTCCCTTCCGCACAGAGAGATGTCTCACGCTGCAGTGGACGGTGATGCTGGTGTCTTGACACGTTAGGTGGTTTTGATTCTGAAAGGTGCACATCAGAGCAGTGGGGCAAGTTTGGATAAATCAGAACCTGCCTGAATCTAGACTCTTCCTTAAACTGAACAAAAGGGCATCTCTTTTGTCACTTCTGGTTTCAGGTCTACTGTCTCATGAGGGCCAGAGCGTCCAGGCTAGAGCAAAGCCACTTGCATTCTCCTTCTCTTCGGGCGACAGGTCTCCTCAGAGGGCAGTGCGAGTGGGAGAGGTTTTGTGTCAGTGCAGGCGGAGATGCACTTCCTTCTGGGGGTGATGGGGCAACACTATCACATCTGTGACTTCAGAGCAGGAACCATTTGGAAAGCTGTAAACTCTACATATCTCCTTCCCTGCCTCCTCCTCTCCCAGGGGAGTTGTGTAAATTTGTTCCGTGACCTACCATTCACTGCAATTTGTAGGGAGGGCATTGGACATGCCACTGGGCTTGAAAATCAGCTGCAGATTTGTACCTACAGATCTAACAGGGTCCGTGAGTTCCAGGCAGAGCAAATGCTTTGGTTATGCTTGCTGACTAGCAGACTCCAGACAGGACCCACTCCAGAATTTTTTACCTGCAGATTTTTTTCTGGAAACCACTTTTCTCAGGAGATCCTGGCCTCCTTGTTCCCCATAGAATAGCCCTGATCAGATTTGCCGACTCATTGCACAAATACAAATTGAGCTCCTACTACATGTCATGCCCTGGGACCACAGACATGACTGGGCCTTGGTTTGAACAGCCAGAAATTCATCCTCCAGCAAGAGAGACTAATAAGTAGACACGTCATTTTGATATAGGTGACTTTGCAGGCTAGAGGCAGGTCCAGGAATGTGGCAGGAGAGGGGAAGTATACTTCTCTGGGTGCAAGGTGGTCTTGGAAGGCTTCCTGGAGGAGGCAGAGGAGGAACTCATGAGTGAAAGGTGAACCGGCATCAACAGGAAAAGGCAGCAGCACGGGGTAGTGGCAGGGCAGTCAGCTATTCCTGTCTGCTGGGGAATGAGGGTTTCCTAAGACGTGGGACTTCAGTGCTAAATGAAGACAGTTCTGAGCAAACGGGGATGGGTGGGCACCATAGGAGTGGAAAGACCAGGTGGTTTTAAAGTTGGAAAGCCCTGGGTTTGAATCCCAGCTCTGCTGCTTAAAAACGGTGTGACCCTGGGTTAAGTAACCACTGTGGACCCAAACTTCATTATCTAAAACATGAAGGTGTATATGCCACCTTCACAGGACTCTGTCTAGCCTGTTGGTGCCAGTGAGAGGTAGTTATTTAGATGGAAGAGGCAGCATTTTCCAGTGCCAGGCGGAATACTGTTGGAGGGGTACAGGGGAGTGTGAAGAGGTTGGCTGGAGACAGGGGCTGAAGCAAAATTATGAAGGGTCTGAATAGTCTCCTAAGGAATTTAGATTTTTTTCCCTTAGGACAATGGTTAATCACTGCATTAATTTTAGAAGATGAGTAAGGCGATCAGATTCTTGCCTTAGAGTGGTTGTCCTGGAAGCAGAGGAGAAAGTAGATTAGGAGTCGAATCTGGAGGGGAAGGATGATGTAGCGAAGTGAGTGGGAACAGGGAATTATATTCTGAGAAAAACAGGAGAACTAACTTGAGAATTCCAGAGGAGGTTGTCAGCCAGCACAGTCAGGCTGCAAGCCCCAGAGGGTAAAAGGGACGGGAATCTCCTCTTCGGAGGTTAGGTGCTGCCCGTGAGCTGTCGCTGCGTGCTGGGCTGGGCTGGAAGGTTTGCTTCCCAAACAGATGTGACACCTGGGAAACTGTGCCTGAGGATGACCTCATGAGCTACTTGGGATGTTTTCGATCCTTCGGCTAATGGGCCGGTCCTTCCTGTCTTCTCTCCATCTTCTTCCTTGGCTTCATCCTGCACAGGAGGCTTCTTGCCAGTGCTTTGACATCTCATCATCTCCATGGTGATGGAACAATGGTGTCCTAAACAGATGACCTCACCGTGTGGTTATGCAAAAGAGTGAGCTGGAAAGGGAGCTTTGGGGGTTGGAAGAGTCTGGTTGCGATAGGAAACCCTGGGATCAGATGCCTCTGAAGCCAGTCTCCAGGCCCTGGGAGAGGATGGAGTAGTCCCACAGCTGAAGTAACTTGGACCAGACCACTGAGGGTGGGCTCTGTGTCCTCAGCAATTTGGGATTGGGAAGGATTTTCTATAGATAATGACAATCAGAAGAAGTTATAAAATAATTTTTTTTAGTATGTAAAGAATTGAAATAAATGAAAAGGTAAAAGACAAATGTGGGAAATTATTTGCAATAAATATAATGGACAGAGAGTTATTATCTTTAATATGTAAAGAGATGTAGGGAGTTAAAACAACAAGTTATAGTACTAAGGGGAAAAAAGCCCTAGCAGAAAATGTGACAAGGTAGATAACCAGAAAATTTACAGAGGAAAAAAGATTTATTTATTCATTCATTCATTCATTCATTCATTCATTCCAATAAATCTGTAGAGTACTTACTCTGTGGCAAGCACTGTTCTGGATACTAGAGATACAGCAGTAAACAAAACAGACTCTGCTTTCATGGAGTTTCAATGCTCTCCGCTTTTTTTCTATATTCTCTTCTAATTCGTTTTTCATGAACTTAATTCCAGAGAAACTGTTTATTCATCTGAAATTATTTCCACGTAAAAGTGAATTGAGAATTTACTCTCCCCCACAAAAGTAAACCAGCTGCCCTTACTACTAATTAATTCATCCTTCCTCTCCTCACTGATGGATGCACGATGCTACTTTTATCATGGAATATGTTCATAGATGTTTATGTTAGGGCT